GAAAGAAAGTATCTCACCGTTTAATACTGAAACACCTCTCCAAGTTCCTCCCAGCACAAAAGGAAAAGACCTAGATGAAAAGACACTTTTGGAAGCATCCATTTATTCCGACTACTTAAAACGTCATTTACGGAATGAGAGGAAGCCATTCGGCAAGAAGCTTGCAGCACTTCACCAAAACTTACAACTGTCTTATCCACGAAGTAGACTAAGACAAATAACTTCACTAGACACCCCTAGAACATATGCTAGGAATGCAGTACCACTTACAGAATTGTACCACCCCTCATCAAAAATATTTATGGAAGACACCGAACCAGGAATTCTCGTACATAAAGCAGGCATCCGAGGATTGCGAGACCTTCAAGTACCCCTTCAACGAATAAATAATAAAATTACTATTTTCCAGCAAAAAGCAAACAAATTATCTAGTGCACAGCACAATCGTCTAAGCTATAAGCGACGAAAATTAATAGCTAAAAATGTCAACAAAAGAGATTCACGTGAAACTGCTGGTGGTGTATCACCAAGTGAGGTAAATAAAATGCGGTACAAAGCCGAAAAATTGTACAATCGTCAACGCCTCTTAAGACCAGCAGTTCAAATGAGGACCGAATATGAAAATCAAAAAACTCCTTTTCCAAACATCTACAAATCTAACCAACGTCTTGATCTTTCAAAAACTTTGAAAGCACGGTATCTACAACCTACCATCTCTACATTAGAACAGAAATCTATATCAATTTTTGCAAAAGAGCCAAACGTACGACAAAAGCCTATAACAAGCAAAGAAAAAAAAGTGCAGCATTTGCACAGCAAAAAAGTAAATTCACCTTTACCTGCCTTAGGTGATAGAAACTTAGGAGGCCAACCTAGAATAAGCGAAATGAAAGAAGTTGAGCGAAACCAAAAAGTAGCAACTAACTTCCTACACGATAACGGAAGGGCTAAAATCCGCCGCGGTGTCAGCAACACCCCTTATCTACTGCCGACAAGGCCAACATATTTGTACGCCTCAGATAGCCTACCTAGAAAGGGAGTACAAGCACAAATAATGAGCCCAATAATGACATATGCGCAACAACAAACCCTGTTAAAGCAACCTCTTCAGAAGTCATATACGGAAGAAGAAGGGTTGACACATCCCTCAAAAATCCAAATCGCTGCTGATCAAGAAAGGATTAAACGGCAAAAAGCAGGAAACATAACCACTGACAAAGTCTCCGCGGAACTACCTTCTACTCAACAGATAACATTTCCACAGTCAGCAAATCAAGAGTGGACGACTGGCCAATACGAGAAACGGAGAAACAAACCATGGAAGGTTCAAATCGCAGCGCATTATGGAGTTCCTCCACAGGTGAAAGTGGAAACTCCAGCTCTTAGAACTGAACAGCGAAAAAAGCCAACAGTTTGGTCAAATTATGTAGGCGGTCCAAAAAGTTTTGAAACAGCCGAGTACATTGGAAATCTTGCAACTCTTTCAAAACAAGGAGCAGAAACCCTACCTGGGAGCCGAACAACAAACTACTCACCATACACGTCATATTCAACCACTCCAGTGTCAAATCTTTCAAAGGAAAAAAAAAATAATGAAAACAGATCTCTATATCCTGTCAGTCGTGAAGAAGTGCCTGCTATGCAAAGACTTTATGAATTATATCGACCATGGAATGGCGCAAATTATTACCACTACTACGGGGCAGGAGTGCCATATACCTACCAAAATATTCAATACACCAAACCAAGTGTAGAATACCTAGATCAGAAGGGCAAGCAAATAGGGAACATCAATGCAAGATTTTTTGGAAGTCCAGTAAGCCAAGTGGCTATTGACAAAGCTGTTATGTCAGGTCAAGCAAAAGGTCGGCAGGAAATTCCCTATGATTTGAACACTGGAAGATACCCAAAAATTAATAAGCTCGTACATCAACAAAGCCAGGTGCAATTTTCTCTTCCACAATATCCCACCATTTGGTCACTTTCTGC